CCGTCAGAACTAATAGCATTTGAGCAGTATATAAAGCAAGCGATGCCTATATGTGTTATTGAAAATTTAGAAATCTAAAATATCAAAATTTAATTTCCTCATACCTGTGTCACAGTTAAGGCGTTGGGAAACAAAATTATTTGTATATTCATAGTACAGAAGTTAATGTATAATTATGGAATATTTCCACACTGTGCTCTAATATGAACATCTGCTCTGCTTGGTTTTCAAGTAAATGTGACGTGGGCATATGATCAGGTTTTGACATTTCCACCTGCAGTGCAATTAGAATATATGTTAGTGTTTGTGCGTGGCAATTCCAGCAATTGACCTCGGCGATTTATATAACACGTAAACTGAATAACCTACATTTTCTGGTGCAATATGTTATTTATTTAGTTTGTAATACATACACCAGGGTTAGGTCACATGCCCGTCATTTCCACTCATTTGCGGGGTAATTCAAGCTGTAGCACCATCTGCACTCTGGTTTGAATTGCATATCTCTTTTTATCGGTGACGTGTATAGCTTGGTTTAGATAATATTTGCAATTGCCACGCCATACTCGAATCCATGATTAACTTTTTGGAATTTAAGAATGCAATTTTGCATTGTAATGGTGCTAAAGGACACAAGGGTCTCCATCTCACACAATAAAGCTAATGAGCCTCGTAAGAATCCCTTTTATAAGCAGATACAACTTTAAAAGTCAAAATCTCATTAATAACGTTAATCTTTCAGATGCTACAGTAGGCTTACCTAATTTTGAACCAGTCCGATCGAAAACGGACGAAGACTTCCAGAAGAAGCGCATCTTGAAATATTCTAGACCTGCGCAGAGACATTTGTCTGGATACAGCGAGGTAGTTATAGACCTTGAACAAGAAACAGATGCTCCCTATGTCAAGTTTGCATCTGTCTCTGATACCAATACCACGAGAGATCTTCTTCAACACCCCCGGATTCAAACATGGTGTCAACGACCAAATAATAACCTTTCAGGAACCGAAGGTATGTTTTGTTGGTTTTTAAATAAAACAATTTGTCGAGTGCAAGAACAGAACAATATGCTATTATCCTTAAGCGTACAAACTGATCGAAAGTTTGGCAATGTTTTGAAATTAGAATCGAAATGCTTCTTAATAAGGTAAATCCTAATAGTTTTGTTCCTTTCTGGCGAGTTTTGTATAAAATATTTCATAACGTAAGTTGTTTTATTACAGGAGTACCTATAGATGGATTCAAATTATCATCTGTGGTCGTCCTCTCTACACCAGGACATACAGCTTCATCTTCAGATACAGTTGGTTGTGACTGGCAAGAGTTCATCGCAGGATACAAAGACCAGAAACTTAGCAATTATAAGGAGGTATTGTCCATACATAAGAATATCATGATTAACAAAGGTGGATTCAAAGTCTACGAACCCATCTCAACTTCTGGTTGTAAGGACCGAGAGTTGTCGCCCTTAGGTATAGCCCAGAATATCAAATTAGGTGAATTTATTCGTAAAGCATACATTCATGATCTGAAAACTTTAAAAACCTTATACAGAGAATCTGTTTCTTTTGCCAATTCTGTACAGGATGTGGCGTCATATCAAAGTTCGATGGCATTCTTCCATGGTCTCCTTTGTGAGAAGCAGTTCATGACAGTGAACATTCACAAAGTACATGACAATTTATGTAGTAGAGCCTTAGGTCTGAATTGTAAGTGTCAGACCTTATCCCAGCATAGCGATTTCACTACAACATTCAATGAGAAAGAACCGCTGAAGCAAAATATAGGTCGTGAAGTGGAGTCTCCTGTCGACTTCCAAAAGTACCGTAAGTACTTACAAGATCTGTCCCGAATTTGTATCGATGAAGAGATTTGCGCTGGATCAAATTGCATAGACTCTACAATAAATGCAGCTTTACATATTTTCAAAATGGCGGACCATGCCCTTCTTAACATAACTAAGTCGCCATCTTTTATAGCGAAAGCTCGTTTATACAGTCATCCATTGTTTATAACCATTATTCCAACGCTTTTTGAACCAAAGCATGATTTTACTCATTATTCAATCAAAGAATTTACATTCGCCAATCTGTTAGTAGCATTAGGCATTCCAGTCCATTCTGTACCATCACCAGCGTCTAGAATCTCAATAGAAGTCCATAAGAAAAAGGGAGGTCGGAAGAGAGTATTCAGGATCTTGGTGAATGGACGTGACTTAACTCCCTATGTAAAAGTTTGCTCTGAAGAGTTCAGTTCGTTTTGTAATCTTCAGACTCTTCAGAATCTTAAGATTTATAATTATGGTCTTGCTTGTGAGAAGTAATGCTTTGGTTGGTGGAAACCAACACAGTCCCAAATAAATCCGAATGGGTCTTTTTATATATATTCTGTTACTTGTAGATGGGTGAGTTCTCATTAACATTAATTCATTTTTAGTTCAAAATGCCAATTTGATTGTAGCCAATAATTTTTTTCTTAATTGTAGTGTAATATTGCGACTTATTGCCATTTTATGTATCTTTCTTATGGCTGTGTTAGATTTAAATATTATATTATTATATGTATGTGTAAGAGCGAGAATTGTCAAATTGGCTTGTAGAAGAAGTCTAAAATGATTTACATATTTCAGGTTTTTTTAAACTCGTATGATTATAAAACATAAATTAAATATTTTTTGTTTTGAAATTGTTTCAACTGGGTACTTTTATTGATTAGTGATAACCTAGATATTTGTATGTTAAATTTCCAGCAGTCGATCATGGTGTCATGGTGTGCTTTATGTTACTTCATGTTTGTGAGATACAATGTGCTATGTGTTGTGCATTCACTGAAACCATGTGTTACGTTTAAAGCTAAATTATCGGATTTTTGTGTTAAGTAATATAAATTTAAGTGTTATGTGTTTATTTTCACATTAACGATGTGTTAAGTTTATAGCCAAGTAATCTGCCATGTATTAAGTTAAAAGTTGATTATATAATTAATTACTGTGCTCTGTGTTACGTTTTCTGATTAGTAATATATATTGTCTGTATTTTTAAGTGTAATTTTACACATCATGTGTGTGAGATGTGCTATGTGTGTATTTTCCAATAAACAATATGTGAGGTTTATAGTAACTTGCTATGTATTAAGTTTAAAAGTTGTTGAGTTATACATTTTGTCGGTGTTTTAAGTGTACTATCACACAAAATGTGTGCGAGATACAATGTGCTACGTGTTTAGTTTAACAATGTGTTAAGTTTATAGCTAAGTAGGCTGCTATGTATTAAGTTTAAAAGTTGATTATACAATTAGCTAATGTGCTCTGTGTTGTTAAGTGCATTGTTAAGTAATATATTTTGTTTGTTAAGTGTAAAATGACACATCATTTGTGAGAGGTACAATGTGTTATGTGTTAAGTGTAAATGGGCCTATATTTAGATCTGTGTAAATGTGCTAACATTTCTCCACTATAATCAAAGATAAAACGTCTACTTAAGCATAGTAACGTTACGGGTATGTAAGTGGAGAAATGGATTTTTGATAATTATTTATTTTTTTATAAGATCTCATCTTTTACCAAATGCACTTTGATCTAAATAGGTGCCTAAATTCCACTCTCTACCGCCATGCATAAGGTAAACTGTCTACTGTCAAACAGTAACGTTACGGGTAGTCATGGTCGGATAGGGAAGTGTCTTTTATTGTTGATATTTTATATTTTGAATTACAATTTGTTTTAAGTGGCATTCAACCAGCTTTTTCCACACTTCGCCAAAACGAATATATGTTATATATATCATCATTGCCATTTCTAATGAGCCAACAAATACATTATAAGAATCAAAGGAAGGCTTAAGAAAATAGTCATATGCAAATATTATATTTACATTACCCTTTGTTTGTGATAATTCTGCATAATACCTATAGTTACTATGTATTGAAAAACAAAAATGAAAATCTTCAGGTCTACTTTCTGATGAGCTTGACATTTTACCACTAACGACACAATTCCGAGTAATGTCTGTATGTAAGGTTTTTGTGGGGTTAGTGGATCAACCCAACAAGCAAGATTGCAAAAATTCTTCTCCAATTTACATTAACTTCAATTAATTTTAAAAAATCGAATCTCTGAAATGTTGTCTTTCATGAATGTTATGTATCTGGAGAATGTAATCTATTTAGAAACCATGACATTTTTCTACTTTGAATTTAAACTTGGCTCTGGTTCCGAATAAATAAGACCATCAAAATTTTTCAAATTCAATTTTTTTTTATTAAGTTCTGTTGTTAGATATGTGAATCAGGAAACTGATTTTTTGTTTGAAATAGTAGATATAGTTTGTACATTATTGACGTTGATGGTATAAACTATTTAAACATATCTAAATCAGGGATATTTAATATGGTGCAATAGTTAAATAGTTTGTCCATCCGAACATGTTATTCTCATAGATACATCCTGGAATACCACACAAATCTTGTTACGTATCTTTAGGGCAACTCGTTGGAACAAGGACGATCTGACGAACATATTTTTTCAGGAAATCTTTAGAAATATAAAATCCAAACCTTGGTCTTGGTCAACGAGTTCTATGAGGCATCGCAGCGTTACTTTACAAGTTTCAAAAGCTGTAAAGTTGCTCTTGGTATCGCATGGTGAGTATTGACTCGGTATAATTTTAAATGTCAGTCATTATATCTATGAGAATAACACTTTACTCTTCCCTCCACCCGGTGTAAGGAAATATGTTATTTTACATGTAAATCGTTGTATTTTATATATATATACAGTATATATTTTTACTTTGTTAAGAATGTTTTCATAATCAGCATAAAATGTTATTATGATCCATTCCATTGAATGGTATTTTTTCCAATTAAATAGCTTAGCATTTTTATTATTATTATTATTTCTCTTTAATCTGAAGTTCTAATGCAGAAAATAGCTGATACAATCTTTCACTTGGTGATACAGCCACCAAATGTGATAAGTTCCTCAGGACCCACTACTTCAGAAAATGTTGCTATCCAGGCTAAAAAAACCAACATGGCCGTCATTCTTCAAGATGGTCGCAAGTAAAAGGTGAAACAATCTAGATATTTGAGTTACTTATCAAACTGTATGTATTCTCTGACCCAGAAAACTCAATAGTTTCTATATCATTCCAAATTTACCATATTTATTCAAAGTGGCCACCAAATAATCGTGAAACCAGCTGTTTTGGACATTTTGTTTGTTTACCTGATGGATATCTACCTTTTCCGAAAGAGTAGGTCCTGGCAAACCTCTGTACCAAAGCTGGTGCTTGTATCACCAAGTGAACGATTCTTATGGAAATTGATTTAATCTGCCCCATTACTGATAAATTTTCAAAGATTTGCAAAGTATTTGTATCTGGTATTAAACATTGAATTGTAAATAAAATGCAATGTATCCTAATAATATTGAATAAGTAAGAATCAAATTACTCTTTACTTAATCGAAATAATTTTGTCTTTTATTAATATTTTTATTTATCAGTGTAAGTTTAATTGAGGGTTTGGCACTTAGTATAGTATTTTAATGCAAACATCAGAATAGTTTTTACTTTACATTCTATCGACTCAAAATGTGTCACAGAATCTCATGTTTGTTATCTTTTAAAAACATGATTAAATAAAGTATTTTCTTCAAAATATGTAATGTCGTTTTGCAGCAACTTTTAAACCTGTGCCAATTTTGGTTGGAGTCACTTGCCGTGACCGCATGTATATGAGCCCTATTGTCGTGGCACCAGATGGAACTTGTTTACCTCATGGCAAATTTAGCCCTCCTAATTAAAATTTAGAAAAAGCACAAATATTTCGGATATTAATGCTGCTCATAGACAGGCTTGTAATACATTGTACATGGAAATCGAAAAGGAGTAAAATGTCCCAGATAGCACACTACATCGCGTTGCCTGTTGACATTTCATTTTGAATAATTCATTTTCAAATTGTTATTCTCAATAGAGACCGTGATGACTGTAATAAAGTTCTCAAACCACGACCACTGAAGATCTCAATATTATAGTGTAGGTTATTTATACGACTATTACAATAGTATTAATTGTCTATCAATAGCTGTAAATAAGATCCACTCACTATTATATGTTAAATTGGCTGAACGGGATTATCAACAGTCTTAAGATCAACTTATATTAAAGGGATTGAATCCCGTATTTCTAGACACTTGATAGCACTTTGAAATACTTACTCACTTATGATTGATATACTTCCTCAGAAGTTTTTCGGTTTTGGATCGTTAGTGCTTGGTAATTTATTAGGCATTCGTAATGTAGTCTATAAAATTGATGACATCCACAACAAAATATAAATGTGTAAGAGGTTTATAACAGTTTCCTGATCTTTGTACTGCTCATAGTTAGTTAAAGCTTCTATTTCCACCATCCTATATGTTTGTGGTTCCTGTCATTTAAGACAAACGTGTTAAAACTATGACATCGTTCACAAACTTTTCTTTAGTTTTATGGAACAAAATAATTCGATCTTAAAACGAAAAGGTACAAAAATAAGAAATAAGTGTCGCGAATACACAGTCAAACGTTGGAAAAAAACACCTTTGAAATCATTTTATCCAGGCATCATCTCACAAAACCACTCATCAACCTATGTAGGGTTTGAGGGCATAATTTGAATTAAAAAATAGTATCATCGTTAAATATAGTACTGAAATATGAAATTGTAAGAATAATACACTAATAGACTGATCTAAATTAAATCTTCAATAATTAATTCAAAAGTACCTGATATTCTCGGGTGGTCAATTCCTTTAATACATAGTCATAACAGTGTGTAATTCTTCACCGTATCGAATTTAGAACCCCTGACTTGTGACGATGTCAATGTTCAGCTTAGTGAGTACAGCTAATTGAGTTGGATTAGACTGTTGTGGGCAGTATTTGTCGCGGTCCATCAAACAGTAGTCTTTCTCAAGACGTATAATATTTTATATATGGGTGAATACATTTGGATTTTATTTTCGTTGTTTACATGTTTTACTGTTGGATTTTAGTTGTTTTAATTTTTACTGAATTTTAAAGATTTTTATTTTGGATTTTACCGTTTTATCAAATTGTGACTGCAGCTAATTCCGACTGTGATATAAACAAGTTTTATTTTATGGTAAGTACTTTCTCCAAATTGTTTCTTTCATCTATCGATCACACATAAGCCAGGGCACAGGTTAACGTTTCTCAAAAATCTGACATACTAATATTCATGTTGAATGTGAGAATTTACATGTTAAAAATTAGTTCTACGACATTCAACTATCGTAAGATTGTATGCGTTTACGGCAGTCTGAATCAAAAATGCGGAAGTTCCGTGGAAGCGTTTATGTTGCTAAAAGACTTCACCTTAATTTCTGCTTAGGCATCAGTGGTGCTAAAGGAGTAACAATGGCGTATCAGAACTGAGATTGGCCTGACTTTAGCCCCTGCCCCCTCCCAGAATTGCCTTTAAAAACCACTCATCAAAACTCATTGACAAGTCTGTGGCCTTTACTCGGTTAGTTACATTGAAAGACTCATCACTTTATAGAAATCGTCAATATATAAAGTTTAATACATAATTATGAGGTCAAGAGGTGTTTTTTATTATGATTAATTGCATTTTCTAAATAAAATCACGGTTCATCGGTTCAATGCGTATTTTTGATTAATATTTTGAAATAACACTGCTCTAAATTTTCATTTACCTCAGAGTTATAAACATGAACAATTGACAAAACAAGAGAATATTTTGATTCATTCGTTCATTCATTCATTTATTCGAGTTAAATTTCTTGCTTCTTGTCAAAGTATAGACTATTAAAAGATTACAATTTAAGCTATAAGCTTACAATAAGGAAATTGGATATGTTCAATTTAAACCTATTTTCTAAATCTTTAATTATCACATTATTTTAGATTTAATTTGACATTGATTGGTTTTTATATATCCGTGTTAAACTATCTATAAATCAAGAACATGACAACAACATTTAGTTTATAGTGATATTATTTTGAAATCAAATATTTTGTTAAGACAAAAAGGACAAAATATATACTGTATATATGCTTTCAGCTTCTTATAATGATTCCATCTTTACTTATTCGTTTATTTCCTTCATTTGTTCAATCGACCATTCATTCATATCATTAATATGATGTATTTATGCATAATTGTATTCTGTCGTCAATATCATATTTATTATCATACATTTCATTAATATCTTTTTCATTTCATTTCACTTTTCATTATAAATTTGATAATTCTATATCTGGTGATAAAAATAAATCTATTAAGCAGTGTATTTTTATCAGTTCATCTAATTAAAAGATAAAAGATAATTTAAGTCATAAACTCTTAGATCTCGTGTCCTTTCCTGTCATATCGGTGGGTCATTTTTGATGAGACCAGAGGCTATCAAGGAAAACAATCCACAATATCAGTGAATAGAAAAATACTTGTATTATCAAGTAGGTAGGAAAGATATATTAAGTCTATCAGAGTTCAGTTTAACACGTTTATTGGTATAGGTATAATAGTAGCAATTAGTACGCTATAGTACATGTACCTAAAGAGGGGTTTGCTTAGCCCGAGGTCCTTTTTTTGTTGATGTGCATATCACTGTGATAATGAAGTGAAGTAATAACATTTGATGAGTTTTAAACAGTCAATATATCCATGTAGAGAAATGTAGTAAAATATTTTCGTCAACTATGCAATTGTGATGGAATAGACATAATGATCATAACAGTTGAAATAAAATATATATAGAATTAAACTGTCTATGAAAATATTGGCATTAAAGTATAATAATTGATTACAATTATAATTTTGATTAAGGTTACATAACTCATTAGTTATAAAATATTCATAAAAATTCAACTCGTTTGCTATGAAATATCCATGAAGTACAATAGCTCATTTTTTATAAAATGCCCACTAAAGTACAATAACCCTTTCTTTTTAAATATCCTCCAAAATATCTACTCAGTTGTTTTGTAATATTCATGAAAGTACAACTTTTCATTTGTAATATAATTGAGATACAGAACATTTAATTTGCGATCTATGGAATTAATTTGCAATTTTGCAATAAACGCATATAAGACGATTCTCTAAGCTTTTGCATGCAGAAGTCAAAAAGTCATTGTTTCCTAGTCTAGAAAAATGGGTTTGATGTATAACCTTAAAATGAAAATATAAATGCAGGTAGAGCGGCAAACTAAATTCACCCCAATATGGTCAAACAATAGTAGCCAGAAACAAACAGTATTGTTATTTTGGGTACTAGTTTAGACTTGAGATTAGCTAAAGAATGACCATTGTTTTAAAGTTACAGTGACCCGTTCATGTATATTTTCGTTAGTTCTTTAGGATTATTTAATTATGAAGGATAATCTAACTACTTAATGCCTATTTATAATTCGTCTTATCATTAATTATCACTAATGATCATTATGTCCACATTGACAGGTATACTTTCATATTGACATGTTGGATTCTCTAAATCTTTATTATTGAGTCAAGAGATGTACAAGATTGTTTTTATTTGGGCTGATAGATTTGCCTTTTGCTGCTTTAAGGTTTAAGGCTCCGGTACAGGTGCAGTCATTTCAAAATATCGAGATAGACTCGCTGCTTACTTGAATACAATATAACATTGGTATTCATAATTCAATGCATTTATTCATAATACAGCACCTTTTATCATATACAACATAATAGTTATTCATATAAAATGGTCCATTTGATCATGTGCAATAGAGCATTTATTCATATTCAATAGAATTTATTTATATTCAACAGAACATTTATTTATATCCAACAGAACATTTATTTATAACCAACAGAACATTTATTTATATCCAACAGAACATTTATTAATATACGGTAGAATATTTATCGAAATACAATATTGTGCAATGATAAATTTATTAATAAAACCTATAGATTATTAATTATATACAAAAGAATATACAATGAACAGTTATTTATATACAATAGAACATTTATTCATATTCAATAGAACATTTAATCATAAAAAATAGAACATTTATTTGTATGAAATAGATATATGATTTCGGTGCTGTTTACTATTTTATCTATTTCAGTAACAAAAGGATGAGAATAAAATGGAAATAATTGGTATAAGATATAAGGAAAATGAAGATCCTGTATTAACATCTGTACAACATTTATTACAACAACTATCTGTCAACAAACACAGCCAATTAGCTGTCAATAATATCAATAATATTAGACGTCGTTACTTCTCCACCAGCACACCCGTAAGATGTTTTACTATATTTACTTTACCGTATAAAAGGATGGCGGTGGTATGAGGGCTAGAAATTATAAAAAAAAATTGCTTCGACTACACCCATCCAATTTATGTGAAAGATTTGTGGTCTGAGGTATCACAATAAATATTGTTCGTATAATCTTTGAGTTACCTCCCGTAGATTGTAATTAATCTATTATGAACCACGAAGTTTGCTCAAAGTGGTACCATCAGATCAATCGCAAAGTGGTATTATCAGATCAATTTAAAAGTGGTATCATTAGATCAATATCATAGTAGTACCATTAGATCAATTTCATAGTGGTACCAATACATCAATCTCATATTGGTACCATTAGATCAATCTGAAGGTGGTGCCATTAGATCAATCTCAAGGTGGTACCATTAGATCAGTGTCATAGAGGTACTAATACATCAATCGCATAGTTGTACCATATGATTAATCTCACAGGGGTACCAATCTCATAGTTAAATCAATCAACTTGTGTTACCATAGCTCTCTAATAGTAGTACCATTAGATCAAACTGTTAGTAAGTACCATTAGATCAAACTGATAGTAGTACCATTAGATCAAACTGTTAGTAAGTACCATTAGATCAAACTGTTAGTAGTACCATCAGATCAATCTGTTAGTAAGTACCATTAGATCAAACTGTTAGTAGTACCATCAGATCAATCTGTTAGTAAGTACCATTAGATCAAACTGTTAGTAAGTACCATTAGATCAAACTGTTAGTAAGTACCATTAGATCAAACTGTTAGTAGTACCATCAGATCAATCTGTTAGTAAGTACCATTAGATCAAACTGTTAGTAGTACCATCAGATCAATCTGTTAGTAGTACCTTTAGATCAAACTGTTAGTAGTACCATCAGATCAAACTGTTAGTAGTACCATCAGATCAATCTGTTAGTACTACCACTAGATCAATCTGTTAGTAGTACCATTAGATCAAACTGTTAGTAGTACCATTAGATCACCATTAGATCAATCTGTTAGTAGTACCATTAGATCAATCTGTTAGGAGTGCCATTAGATCAAACTGTAAGTAGTACCATTAGATCAAACTGTAAGTAGTACCATCAGATCAAACTGTCAGTAGTACCATTAGATCAATCTGTTAGTAGTACCATTAGATCAAACTGTTAGTAGTACCATTAGATCAATCTGTTAGTAGTACCATCAGATCAAACTGTTAGTAGTACCATTAGATCAAACTGCTAGTAGTACCACTACATCAAACTGCTAGTAGTACCACTAGATCAATCTGTTAGTAGTACCATCAGATCAAACTGTTAGTAGTACCATCAGATCAAACTGTTAGTAGTACCATTAGATCAAACTGCTAGTCGTACCACTAGATCAATCTGTTAGTAGTACCATTAGATCAATCTGTTAGTAGTACCATTAGATCAAACTGTCAGTAGTACCATTAGATCAAACTGTTAGTAGTACCATTAGATCAACCGGTTAGTAGTACCATTAGATCAATCTGTTAGTTGTACCATTAGATCAATCTGTTAGTAGTACCATTAGATCAATCTGTTAGTAGTACCATTAGATCAAACTGTCAGTAGTACCATCAGATCAATCTGTTAGTACTACCATTAGATCAAACTGTTAGTAGTACCATCAGATCAAACTGTTAAGAGTACCATTAGATCAAACTGTCAGTAGTACCATTTGATCAAACTGTTAGTAGTACCATTAGATCAAACTGTTAGTTGTACCATTTGATCAACCTGTTAGTAGTACCACTAGATCAATCTGTTAGTACTACCACTAGATCAATCTGTTAGTAGTACCATTAGATCAAGCTGTTAGTAGTACCATTAGATCAAACTGTTAGTAGTATCATAAGATCAAACTGTTAGTAGTACCACTAGATCAATCTGTTAGTACTACCACTAGATCAATCTGTTAATAGTACCATCATCTGTTAGTATTTCCATTGAATCAATTTGTTAATATTTCCATTGAATCAATCTGTTAGTACTACCATTAGATCAAACTGCTAGTAGTACCACTAGATCAATCTGTTAGTAGTACCATTAGATCAAACTGTTAGTAATACCACTAGATCAATCTGTTTGTAGTACCATTAGATCAATTTGTAAGTATTTCTATTGAATCAATTTGTTAGTATTTCCATTCGATCAATTTGTTAGTATTTCCTCAAAATGACGACATGAGTTACACGGTGGACGGTTATCAGTCGGAATGATTTAAAATTTGTGAATCCAGGTGTAATTGGCTTCACTTTATTCAATTGGTAGTGTCGTCTACAAGGTTTAACTACAGATTTTCAAAGCCATTAAACATGTATTGACACAATGAATTAAACAAATTTAAGAATGGGGAACATTTAATGTCTGTCAAATTAGATGGTCAAAGTTTTGTCTTGGTCAGCGTATAAGTGTCGACAAGTGGACCTTGAAATGACCAAACACACCGCCTATTGTTTGCGTACGGGTCGACGGTCAATATAAGACTGACGATACACTACGTCTAGTCTGAGCTAAATATTTCGCTTTCAACCCCAAATTTGTTGGAGACATGTTTTTCTTGTGTTTGCTTGGTAAATATTTGAAGAAGGTGTCCAGCTCATCTGTTCAATATTTGTACTGGACCAGATAGACGGTGCTTTTCTTCATTTCATCAATTCAATTTGAAACTTCGAAGAATTTTGTCGAAGAGACCCAACTCGATCCTATAACAATGTCAATGCACTCCTTGAAGAAAACTGCTACCAACGATTTATGGTAAGCTATTCATTCCAAGAGTTGAAAATGTCTGATGGCTCTGAGTCAGGATGATTGAAAGCAATTCGATTGGTTAGTTCGTTACGTCAAACGATTTTATCGTAAAATTCAAAGAAAGTCAAAGACTACCACATACTCAGAAATTATCGTAGCATTAAAATTCATTTGTAAACACCCGAGAAAAGGGATCCAGTGCAAGTACCCGGTCCTAAAGACCTACACCGTAGTTCTATGTCAAAGGTTATGGTTCGTTATGATTTTTATGAGTTTTTAAATCAATTTAGATGTGGTTTTTATATAGTAATCTAATGATTTATTGTAATCTACCTATTTTTAAATTCAAATCAATGACCCAATTTTTACGACCATTCATAAAATTGTAAGAATAACTTAAAGGGATACTTCATTCATATTATGTTGTTGATTTGTCGTGTGTGAAAGGTATGGGCCAGGTTTAATGAGTTATGTGTAATTTGCTAATGGTTCAAAAAGGCCCATGTAAGGGGTATCAAAATATAGTAATGATTCACCAAGGCCCATGTAAGAGGTATCGAAATAGAGTAATGGTATCGAAATATAGTGATGGTTCACCATGACCCATGTGAGGGATATCGAAATATAGTAATGGTATCGAAATATATAGTTCACCAAGGCCAATGTGAGGGATATCGAAATATAGTAATGGTATCGAAATATAGAGTAATGGTTCACCAAGGCCCGTGTAAGGGATATCGAACTATCCACATGTTATCGCAATTGGTTTTCAATGTGATATCACCAATGGAACACCCGAGAAGGTCCTTTAGAAGTCTCTTTGGAGGAAAATATGTTATAATGGGTATCAACAAATGATTTGGATGTATATCGATTCATTGTTTGTGGTTGAAAGCTATTATTTAATTTCAATGGGATTTTATCATATTTGTATGGCGCAGAGGTTCCAGAGGAACTTCAGGGACATGAGGAGTCCGAAAACGTTGCGAACCAAAGTATATTGATTATAAAATGGTCAAGGATATCTTTTGAATATCATGTAAGTTTTCTCAATGTGATTCATCTTTGTACTCGTTTACCTGAGTGGAATTTCTTGAAAGTCACTTACACTGAAAAGTGTTTACAAATGCGTAACATGTTATTCTGGATTTTGTGGCTTTTTATAGTTTTGTCTGAATATTTTAAATATTATATAAATATACGTTGGTTTCTATGTGACACTATTAAATTGATGGCAATGCATTCATATTGCAGAAGGTTTGTAAATTTGCAATGTAAAAGGCTTCTGATATTTAAAGTAATTGGCAATTTTCTTTCGTATACTGACCCATTTAACATTCTAATATTGTCTTCTATCCTATAATAAGACCAAAAGTTGAAAATGAAAAATTCTTAAAGTAACTTGTATTGACAATGAATGATTGGGTAAAGTGAACTAGTGTTTAAAATTTAACCATTGTACAAACATAGCGATTACATCTGACTTGATGATCAAGCTTTAAGGAAGATCTTGTTTTAGACACTTTCTTCAAGACGTTTTAAAAGGTGAGAAGTCCAGTTGATAATTTTTTAAACGATGTATAACTGACAAGTGTACTGTGTGGTATTTATTTTGAGAATTTTGAATATAAAAAGTTCACGTTGGAGTTTGTCTGATAACAGCACTTATTAGTTAAATGAGACTGTGCAGGAGATGATGGTACCATGATGAATATTCGCTGAACACTCATCTCACCTGTTTCTACTGGCGTGGAAATTTGACGTGATGTTATGTTATATTATAAGAGTAGATTCTCCGTTATCTTTATGATTAGCTCAGAAATTAAAGGTAAGGTACGCTACCACATTTACGCTAAACTGGACAGAATGCAATATTCAACTAAATTGGTCACATTCTCGGAATGAATGAAATTGTGTTACTCTGGTTTTGACTTGTTGAATTAAGAGGTATAAGAGGCAAACTGCAAGAAAGCAAACAAACAATCACAATGGCTTGACACTTGACAACAGCTGTGAATGGGAAACAAGTTATTTTTCTACATTTTCCATCTGTCAATGCTGTGTTATGCATTTGATATCGAGTATAGATGAATATGCATATATTGCTTGCTATGTTTAGCTTAAAAATTTCAAATTACCATGCATATGAATCTCATAATCAATATCACAAGGAAACTCATATTTAAATTCATTTCTCGGAAAATTATCCGAGCAATCAAAATGAAATCAAATTGAGTGAAATGAATTGAGTTATGCATCCTATCTTTCTGTACCACC